ATAACTGGCCTATTATCTTTTTCTCAACTGCTGGTGTTACAAAAGACAAAGTCTGAGTAATTGTTCCATATTGAAGGAAACTGAAAGGAAGTAACACTAAATGCAGTGCATGATACTGGATTAGATCCTAGATTGGGAAATTAAAAATTGCTATAAAGCACATTATTTGGACAAATCTCAACTTAAATATGGACTGATAATATTTTATCAGTGTAAAAATTTCTGATTTTGATAATTGTAGTTTGGTTATATAAGAGAATATCTTTTTCTCAGCAAGTAGAAACCATGGTGTTTATGGGTAGGGGGCAAGATATCCAAATTTTATTCTCACACGGTTCAGAAAAAATTATATGTATGTTATATTAGCTAGGATTCTCCAGAGAAACAGAAACAACAGAATGGAGAGAGAGAAAGAGGGAGAGGGAGAGAGAAAAAGAGGGAGAGGCCTGGCAAGTCCAAAATCTGATGGGATAGGTCAGTAGGCTGGAGATCCAGGGAAGAGTTGCAGTTCAAGTCCAAAGGCAGTCTGCTGGCAAAATTCCCTTCTTACTTAGGGGAGGTCAGTCTTTATTCTAGTAAGACTTTCAATTGATTGGTTGAGGCCCACCCACATTGTGGAGGGTAATCTGCTTTACTCAGAGTCCACCTATCTAATTTCATCCAATAAACACGTTTACAAAAACATCCAGAATGTTTGACCAAATATCTGGGCACTGTAGCCCAGCCAAGTTGACACATAAAATTAACCACTTCATAGTGTATGTATATATACATGTGTATATACAGAGAGATGATAAAGCAAATATGCAAAATGTTAATAATTGGTGAATACCGATGAAAGGTATAAAGGAGTTCTTGTGTTATCCTTGCACCTTTTCTGTAGATTTGACGTTATTTCAAAATAGAAAGTTTAAATAGGGTATAAAAGGGTATGGTTAAATTTATGCATAGCACATCCATACAGTGGAATAAACTGCAGCTCTCAAATGATGGAAGGGGTTTTACTGATACAAAAAGATGTCTAAGGGGCCGGCCCGGTGGCGCACTGGATAAGTGCGCCGCTTGGGAAGCGCGGCGGCGCTCCCGCCCGAGGGTTCGGATCCCACATACAGACCGGTTCCCGCTCACTGGCTGAGCGAGGCGCGGGAGCAACACCGAGGGTTGCGATCCCGTTGCCGGTCCCCGGTCCGGTACGGGGGCAACACTGAGGGTTGCGATCCGTTGCCGGACACGGAAAAAGACAAAAGACAAAAAAAAAAAAAAAAGATGTCTAAGATAAATTAGAGGAAAAAGCCAAGTGCAGAATATTGTAGGTAGGATGATATCATTTGAGTGGGGAAAAAAAACAGATACATGTTCATAAATGCCTAAAATAGCTCTGCAAAGATAAACAAGAAACTAGTAATAATGTATTAGTCAACCATAATTGCTTTAGTGGTGAAAAACTGAGAGGCAGGTAGAGGAGAGACTTTTCATTGTACACCTTTTTGCAACTTTTGAATTTTTTATTTGTATACATTACATAATTAAAAAATAAAACCTTCACACAAAAAGTATCGTGATATACATCTTTGTATTTTTTTTTTTTTAAAGATGACCGGTAAGGGGATCTTAATCCTTGATTTGGTGTTGTCAGCACCACGCTCAGCCAGTGAGCGAACCGGCCATCCCTATATGGGATCCGAACCCGTGGCCTTGGTGTTATCAGCACCACACTCTCCCGAGTGAGCCACCGGGCCGGCCCGACATCTTTGTATTTTTGCCTGTGTTTTTTGACTTTCTCCTTAGGTTAGATTCTCATAAAAGCAATTTCTGGATGGAAGGATTTGAGCATTTTTAAGCTTTTTATTTATGTTGCCAGATTGCATCTAGAAAGGTGAATAAATTAATTCTTCTAGCACATTTCACTGCACCCTTTTTGGAGTAGTGTTTTGTGGGGGTTGTTTGTTTGTTTGTTTTTGACCGGTAAGGGGATCACAACCCTCGGCACGGTGTTGTCCACACCATGCTCAGCCAGCGAGCGCACCAGCCATCCCTATATAGGATCCTAACCCACAGCCTCGGCACTAACCGTGTCGCGCTCTCCCGAGTGAGCCACGTGGCTGGCCCGTTTGGGGTTTTTTTTTTTTAACAGCCTTATTGAAATATAAGTCACATACCATATAAATCACCCATTTAAAGTGTACGGTTCAGTAGTTTTTAATATATTTAGAGTGGTACACCTTTTAGAACATTTTCATCACTCCACAAAGAGACCCTGCACCCATTAGCATTTACTCCCTATCCCCACCCCTACATCCAGCCCCTGGCAGCTACTAATCTAATTTCTGTCTCTATGGATTTGTCTATTCTGGACATTTCATATAAATGGAATCATTCAATATGTGGTCTTTTGTGTTGGACTCTGTATTTGTCAAGGTTCTCCAGAGAGAGAACCAAGGGGATATGTGTATAAATGTATGAGAGGGGACTTAGGGAAATTTGCCCATGAGATTACGAAGGCTGAGGAGTCCCACAGTAGGCATCTGGGTGCTGGTAGTATGGCTCAGTTCAAGTTGGTAAGCCTCAGAATCTAGGAAGCCAATGATGTGATTCTCAGTTTGAAGCCAAAGCCCTGAGAGCTGGTGTGCTCCTGGTATAAGGCTGTTTCAGAGGCTTCTGGACTTGGACTGAGCCATGCTACCAGCATCAAGTTTGCAGATGGCCTTCTTTTACTTAGCATAGTGTTTTCAAGATTCATTCATGATGTAGCATGTATTAGTGATTCTTTACTTTATATGGCTAAATAATATTCCATTGCATGGATATACCACATTTTGTTTATCCATTTATCAACCAATGAACATTTGGGTTAGTTATTTTCACCTTTTGGCTGCTATGACTAGTGCTGCTATGAACATTTGTGTGCAACTTTTTGTATGGGCATGTTTTCATTTCTCTTGGATATATACATAGGAGTGGAATTACTGGATCATATGGTGACTCTAGTGACTCCATGTTTAAACTTTTGGGAAACTGTCAGACCATTTTCCATAGTGATCGTACCAATTCACATTCCCACCAGCAGTAGATATGAGTTCCAATTTCTCCATGTCCTTGCCAAAACTTGTTATTTGTCTTTTTTATTATAGCCATTCTAGTAGGTGTGAAGTAGTATCTCACTGTGATTTTGAAATGCATTTCCCTGATGGCTAATGAGATTAAGCATCTTTTTATGTACTTATTGAAGTAGTGTATGTTTATAACAGAATCCCAATGAATATTGAAAGCCTTGAAGTTTACTTTGCTTCTTATTTTAGTTTTAAAAATCATAATTATATTTTAAGTGATACCAGTGCCATATGGATTTTTTTGTTTTCAAACACTGGTGCATTTTATTTCAGGTTAGCCATTCTCTCAGGAGAGCAGTATGTACAATGGATTTATATGGAGACGTAGTAGTCAAGGCTCTTGTTTATAAAAAACAGATATCAATTACCGACTTTGGCTAACTTAGAAGAAAAGAAATTTACTAAAAGGATATTGGATTTTTAGGATGACTTAAGAAACTAGACTTGAAAAAGGGCCAGGAGCAAAAAGAGGCTGGCTGCACAGCCAAAAAAAAACATATTGCAGAATTCATCTAGCAAAAACACAACTTGCATAGCCAGCAGTGCTGTCCCTGGATATTGTCACTGTTATTCCCCGCTAGGAGCTGGATATTGATCCTGCTGTAAGAATATACCACTTCCTCACTTCTCTGCACCACCAGCTTTGGATTCAAAATCCCAAGCAGATGTATCTGATAAAGAATCTCAGGTTATATTACTTCTTTCTGACTTCCAGTATAGCTGGTCTATCAGTAGAAGACTCAAAAGTGGGAATTTCCTCAAAGCAAACAGTTTCACATACTGAGCATCCTTCCCCCACTGTTTCTGCCGCCCTCAAAAAAAAGTCCTCTATAAAGGACTATAATTTGTGAGCCAAAAAATATTTATTGAGTAACCTGGCAAAATTTTTTGCTTCTATTGGTAAGAATCTTTTAAAGAGACTCTCAGAGTCTCAAGTTTCAATCAGCATATCCAGAATTTGAATACCTGTGGATGATAAGCTGATGTGTTCCATCCCCTTTTTTTTTTTTTTTTGTCTTTTGTCTTTTTCCGTGTCCGGCAACGGATCGCAACCCTCAGTGTTGCCCCCGTACCGGACCGGGGACCGGCAACGGGATCGCAACCCTCGGCGCTGCTTCCGCGCCTCACTCAGCCAGTGAGCGGGAACCGGTCCGTATGTGGGATCCGAACCCTCGGGCGGGAGCGCCGCCGCGCTTCCCAAGCGGCGCACTATCCAGTGCGCCACCGGGCCGGCCCCGTTCCATCACCTTTTAAAAAAAATATATTGCAAGTATCATTCTGTATATAGTGCTAGACACTTAATTGAGCTTTGACACTACAAGTTTGCAATCTAATACCACACTAATATAGGGACATAAAGAATGTACCCCTAATTGAATAAGCCAGGAAGATGAAGTAAAAATGATTATCTGAGTATATACTATCTTCTTTATTTTTGGTGGTAGAACCACACATTAAAACTCAAAACACTTGAATAACCTGTAACAGTCTTGTGCTTTGTAATTAACTTCCTGATTGGAAAAGACTTCCCTTCTGGAAGACTTTTGTTTTTACTCATACTAATTTTGTGAACCTTCTTAATCTGTTAATACTTACTTTGCAATTCATAAGCAGAGCACTGTCTGTGTGATTTAGGGAATAAAAGTAAGTGCTCTCACTCCCTACGTAGGTAAAAGACACTTTATGTGAGGACTACTAATTCAAAATCTACTATTTCTTGGTGTTCCTGGAAACCAAAATAATTTAGTAGCACTTGAGAGTGAGGTTATCCGTTGTTGTTTGTTTTTAATAAATTTAGGCTTTTTAATAAAGATTCTTAGTCATGAATAGAGTGTTTCCTTTTTGATCCATTAGATGAATGAATTTTTAAATTTCTCCTTTTTTTTTTAGTTTAATACAGTTTTTTAGTAAAATGAAGAAGTGGATGGACATGTCAAACCTGCCACAAGAATTTCGTGAACGTATAGAAAGGTTAGAGAGAAATTTTGAGGTGTCTACTGTAATTTTCAAAAAATTTGAGCCAATTTTTTTAGATATATTTCAAAATCCATATGAAGAGCCTCCAAAGTTACTACGAAGCAGGAAGCAGAGGTGAGACCCTTAATCCTTACATAATTGATGTAAATATTATGGTACAAACTTACTGAGAGTTTGCTTTTTTGAAAGTCTACTTTTTACCAGAAGTATCCATCTGTAAAGAACTTAAATTTCTTTTTAAAGCCATGTAAAATTAATTAACCATATCTGAAAATTCAGGATAATACTTTCACTGATTTTTCTGTGTTCTGATTATTTATGCAAATTGGAAAGGCTTATTTATTTAAGTTCATTTCGTAAGTCATAGACTATCTTTCCTTTGTGAATGGAGTTTTATATGTGATTTGACTTTACTATTTGTTATTTATATTTGCTATTTCAATTTAAATGATATTTAGCAAGCTAGTCAGACAAAAAATACATTTTTTTCCCTTTTTAGGAGGATTCCTTGCAACGTTAAGGATCTCTTTAATTTCTGTTGGACACTCTTTGTTTATACTAAGGGTAAGGTGATACTTTTAGTGGTTTTATATTTCTGCTGTGGGAACTTAGTGCTATTTGACATGAGATGTTTCTGGTTTTCGTGTCTTTTTTCTTATAAAGGTAATTTTCGTATGATTGGGGATGATTTAGTAAACTCTTATCATTTACTTCTGTGCTGCTTGGATCTGATTTTTGCCAATGCCATTATGTGCACAAATAGACAAGACTTGCTAAATCCATCATTTAAAGGTAAGACCTTTATTTGTTTTTGAAAACTGATTATCAGTTTTCGGAAGAAGAGTTTTAAAAGTTGACCATATTTTTTTCCCCTCTTCCTCTTCTTACCCTGTCAAACTAGGTTTACCATCTGATTTCCACACTGCTGATTTTAGGGCTTCTGAAGAGCCTCCCTGCATCATTGCTGTACTGTGTGAATTGCATGATGGACTTCTAGTAGAAGCAAAAGGAATAAAGGAGCACTACTTTAAGCCATACATTTCAAAACTCTTTGACAGGAAGGTACTGTACTTATAATTTTTTTTTTTTTTTTTTTTTTTTTTTTTTGCAGCTAACCATTATGGGAATCCAAACCCTTGACTTTGGTGTCACCACACTCTCCCAAGTGAGCTGTACTTATAATTAAATGGCTGAGATGTTCAGGGGTCAGCAGCAGTCTCAAAGGAGAAAATAGTATTTTAAGCAAGTTCTCAACATCATAGGACTCAGAGTCAAGATTCTTAAGTTGTGTGTTTCCTCTGCTGTGATGCAGATTTGCCATATGATCTTGTATGATGTGAGAAACTGAGCTGTTGAAGAATGTGACCAACTACTGTGTATGTACTGTCAAGAAAACTCAATGTCAGGGACAACTGTAGGAGATACTGGTAAAGAACTATAAAGAACAATGTGTCAGAATAAGCCTGATAAAGAATGTTGAAAAACAGGAGTCAGAGTAAGCTGACTAGTATACTGCTGCAATTTGAATAACTGCTGATTGTTTACTAAAAGTAGGAATAATATATAACAACTGTACCTTTAATTCCATATAAATAGAGCATAAAACCCACTATAGTTTTGTAGCTGCTTGCAGGCTACCTGTGTGCATTCTGGATTTTTTTCCCTCAATAGTTAACTTAGCTATTTCTCTATTTATAAATTAGCTTGTTCTTTTGGTTCTTAATTTCTTATTTTCCCAACACCGAGCCATTTAATATACCTAGGCCTTGAGATTTTTCTTTGGTGAAAGGAGAGATTTGGATTAGGTCATCATTGTGGTCTCCCAGTTTACAAATATTATGATATTTTTCTTTAAGCATAACTGGTTTCTTCTCCTATGCAAATTTTTTTTTTTTTTTTTTTACAACATAATGGGTTTATATTTAATACAGTACTTCTCACCATGGGGATGTTTCTCAGATAATCAATATAAAGGTTTTTTAAACACTAAATATCTGCTCAATTTCAACATAAACTTGTTTTTTTTAAACATTAAATCTTTTCTCCATTTCAATAGTAGATACATTGAATATTTTTCTAAACTTTTTTTCTCCAGAGATAAAAGTTTCAATTATTGGCTCACTATTTGATATCTAAGTACAATATTAACTTGGGAGATAACAAGAAAAAAATCTAATAAAAACATGGAGAAAAGACTCCTTAGTGATTCAAGATGCAGTGATTATAACTGAACGGTGGCAATTACCTAGGTTTCTGGACAAGAGCTTCCTTCCTATTTCATGTGTGTTGAGAATTCTGAAACTATGAAATGTTATTTATGCAAATTTCAACCATCGTAACCCTTTGACCACCTTTCTAATCAGCAAATACACATTACAGGCTGCATTTTTCAGTGCATTATTCAGTATAAAGAAAACTTTTTTTCTCATTTAACATAAATGAATTTGTCCCCATTTTATGGGAAACAACTAAGAATGTGAAACTACCCTATTTACTGTTTCTTGGCAATTTCCAGACACCAAAGTTCAGGTTTAGCCTCAATAGCACAAAGGTTTTCAGGGTGAGGTTTGATTCAGGAGACCCTTTAAAGTCACATTTGTCAATTTCTCTTTTATGCATACACCCCCAAGCAATCACAAATGCCTGTAATACTTGAGAACCATACCTAATAAGAGAGTGATTGCATCTCCAGCTTCTACTGCTTCATCAACAGGCAACACCAAAAGCAATGAAATGAGGACTAAGAGCAACTGTGTTGAAACTGAGGTCATGATGTTGGGATCTTGAGGGCTGAAGATTCCAAAGAAATAGTTTATATAAAATTCTGTCTGACTTGAAATATTCCCTTCTTGGAACTCCGGATGCTGAAGCTAAGAGGTTCCACGTGACACCATCTTACCTTCCAGGGAGCAGCCATTACAGGAATCTCTTATGCAAACTTTTGTATTTAGTCATATACACGTGTATATCATGGTTCTTTATCTGTATGTTAAACATCTCCAGCAAAGTAAACTTTTAAAGGAACCTAGGGATTATGTCCAGTGTGCTTTGCAGAAGCAGCGCACTGGTGCCCTGGGTACAATGACCATAAATCTTGGTTTGCCTGGATTAACCAGTATTTGGCTATTGTCTTGACATAATTATTATAGTACCTTCTTCACTCTAAAAGTATCCTGGTTTACATGATGGTCCTCCTGCCCTCCATGGGCACAGATGTTTGGCCTGAGTAGGATAGTACTTATTTTTATTTTGTTTAATTTCTAATTTTTAATGTAAATATCATGAACTTTTATATGGAAGGCTTTTAAAAATCAGAAGCTATGGCAATACTGGGTTGGAATTTCTTCATGGGTAACTGTTGTCAAGTTAAATGATGGCCATCTCTTTTAAGATGGGAAGTGTGCTTTCTGTCCTCTTCATTTATGTATATTTTAATTTTTTTTTTTTTTTTTTTTTTT